GCAGGGAAAATGAATGGTGGTAGATTTGATAAAATGAGCTGGGCAGATTTGGACCAGGCAATCAAAGGGAAATTGGCTGCTAACCCAACAGCATCTATTCGTATCATTACCAATACAATTCTTAGCCCTTCGACGAAGGCGGCTTTAAATGAATTTAAGGCAAAATATCCAAATACGAAAGTAGTTACTTATGACGCAGTGTCAAGTTCAGCTATTTTGATGGCAAATGAAACTTGTTTTGGTGACCGAGTGATACCGAGTTATCGCTTTGATAATGCGGAAGTTATCGTGAGTTTTAACGCTGATTTTTTGGGTACATGGATTTCTCCGATAGAGTTTTCAGCGCAATATGCTAAGAATCGTCGACTTAAAAGCTCGAAAAATGCAAAAATGTCGCGTCATATTCAGGTAGAAAGTCACATGTCATTGACAGGTTCTAATGCTGATAATCGTGTTTTGGTAAAACCATCAGAACAGGGTGCTGCGATAGCGACTTTATATAATGAGGTAGCTGCGTTGAGTGGGGTAGGGGGCGTGAGTGCGCCAAAAGTAAATGATAAAGCAGCGGCAGCACTAAAAAAAGTGGCTAAAGAATTAGTACAAAATAAGGGTAAAGCATTGGTTGTATCAGCTTCCAACAATATAGGTGAGCAGGTTTTAATAAATAAAATCAATGATATATTGGGTAGCTATGGTACGACGATTGATTTTTCGGAAGCATCATTGCAGCGTCAAGGTATGGATGGGGATATGCAAGAGTGTTTGAGAGATATGGCAAGTGGTAGTGTATCAGTGGCGATAGTGTTGGGTGCAAATCCTGCATTTGAGTTGCCTAATGCAAGTGCTTTTGCAGATGCGTTTAAAAAGGTAGGCACGAAAATTTCATTGGCTTCGCAAATGGACGAAACAACTGCGCTTTGCGATTATGTTGCTTCTAATCATCATTTGCTGGAAAGTTGGGGAGATGCAATGCCCAAACGTGGTCATTATAGTCTAATTCAGCCAACAATTCGTCCGATATTTAATACGCGTCAAGCAGAAACCAGCTTATTAACTTGGGCGGAAAGTGCGAATTTAGTGGCAAGTGCAGAGCAGCCTTATTATGAGTATGTCAAGAATTTTTGGAAAAATAATATATTTACGCAGCAAAAATCTTATGCATCGTTTCAAGGTTTTTGGGATAGTGCATTGCATGATGGGGTATTTCATGTTGGGCAAGCAGCTCGTTCTGTAAAATGTGGTGGAGATGCGGGCACTGCGGCGGCGGAAATCACTAAACCTGCGAATGGAGAGTTTGAGATTAGTTTTTATGAAACGATAAATATGGGTGGCGGACAGTATGCCAACAACCCTTGGTTGTTGGAGATGCCAGACCCAGTGCTGCGTACTGTTTGGGGCAATTATTTGTCAGTTCCGATAGAGTGGGACGGGATTAATGATTTCAAAGGCTTGAAAGGTTTAAAAGATGGCGATGTGGTGGAGGTAGAAGTAAACGGCAAAAAACAAAAGGCTGTTGTGATGCGCCAGTTTGGTCAAATGCCGGGTACTGTTGCTTTGGGCTTAGGTTTTGGTCGAGAAGTAGCGAATAAAGCAGGGCAGGGAGTAGGTACAAATGTTCAGCCTTGGTTGTCAGTCGGAGGAAGTGGACTAACTCAATATTATGCTGGGAATGCGGCAATATCAGGTAAAGTTGGTACTGATGACGATTTTGCTTGTGTTCAATACCATCACACTTATGGGGTAACAGGGTTTGGAAAAGAGGAGAATAAAGTAATAAATGTTGATGAAAAAGCATTGGGACACAAAGGCTTCCAAGGCTCATTGACGGATAGGTCAGTAGTTTATACGACGAGTTTGAGCCATCTACATGCTGAGGTAGAGAAAGTAAATGAGAAGCGCAAAGAAGCGCAACATCTTAATTCAAAAACGCTTTATCCTGATTATAGTGATAAATATGGTGCGGGGCATCGTTGGGGTATGTATGTTGACCTCAATGCTTGCACAGGCTGTGGGGCTTGTACGGTGGCTTGCATGAGCGAAAATAATGTGCCAGTAGTTGGAAAGCGTCAGGTGCATGTGCATCATGAGATGACTTGGTTGCGTATTGACCGTTATTATTATGGTAATGTAGAAAACCCTAATACGGTATATCAACCGATGATGTGCCAACACTGTCAAAATGCGCCATGCGAAAATGTTTGTCCTGTAAATGCGACAAGCCATAGTGCAGAGGGTCTGAATCAAATGACTTATAACCGTTGTATTGGTACGCGTTATTGTGCGAATAACTGTCCATTCAAAGTACGTCGTTTTAATTGGTTGGATTATACGACAGCAGATTTATTTGGAGGGAATGAAAATTATTTAGATGATCCACATATGTTGGACAATAATGGTTTGCCGATGTATGCGGATAATTTGATTCGAATGGTGTTGAACCCAGACGTAACTGTTCGTTCTCGTGGTGTAATTGAAAAATGTAGTTTTTGCGTACAGCGTATTCAAGAAGGCAAATTGATAGCCAAACGAGAAGGGCGTGCCTTGCGCGATGGTGATGTAAAATCAGCGTGTCAGACTGCGTGCCCAACTGGAGCAATTACTTTTGGAGATGTAAATAATGAAAAGAGTGAGGTGCATGAGTTGGCAAAATCAGATATGACCTTTATTTCCTTGGAAGAGATAAACGTGCTGCCATCAATAAATTATACAATAAAAGTGAATAATCGGGTAGAATCGCTTGATGCATAATTATTTGTGCATTAACGTTTTACGATATTTACGAGAGAATTTAGAAGATATTTAAAAAATAATTTATACAAATACATAGCATGACAGTGTTAAGCGTCATGTGACAATAAAATAACCATAATAATTATGAGTGTAGTTGTATCACCTATTCGTGAGCCATTGATAGAAGGTCATAAGACCTACCACCAAATCACGGAAGACATTTGCCGACCGACGGAAACGGCTCCGGGTAAGACATGGATGATGGCTTTCATTGTGGCTGTAATTGGTTTGGGGCTTTACGTTTTTTCAGTGACCTGGACGATTTGGAAAGGGATTGGCTCGTGGAACTTGAATCGGACGATTGGCTGGGGCTGGGATATTACCAACTTTGTTTGGTGGGTCGGTATTGGTCATGCGGGTACGCTGATATCAGCTATCTTGTTGCTTTTTCGTCAAAAATGGCGGACGGGTGTAAACCGAGCGGCAGAAGCGATGACGATTTTTGCGGTTATTTGTGCGGGGCAGTTTCCAATTATCCACATGGGTCGTATTTGGATGGCGATTTTTATTTTTCCTTATCCAAATACAAGGGGACCACTTTGGACGAATTTTAACTCACCACTTTTTTGGGACGTGTTTGCGATTTCGACTTATTTTACGGTGTCCTTATTATTTTGGTACACAGGTTTGGTGCCAGACTTTGCGACAGTACGCGATAGAGCAAAAGGATTTCGTAGAAAAGTTTATAATTTCTTGGCGTTTGGTTGGACAGGCTCGGCAAAACACTGGCAACGTTGGGAATCGCTTTCTTTAGTGTTGGCTGGCCTATCAACACCGCTCGTGCTTTCGGTGCATACGATAGTAAGCTTTGACTTTGCGACATCGGTTATACCTGGTTGGCATACGACTATTTTCCCTCCTTATTTTGTTGCAGGTGCGATTTTTTCAGGTTTTGCGATGGTACAAACCCTGATGATTTTGGTTCGCCATTATCTTAAATTACAAGAATATATTACCATTGGTCACATAGAGTCAATGAATAAAGTTATTTTATTGACAGGAACAATCGTCGGGGTAGCTTATTTAACGGAGCTGTTTGTGGCTTGGTATTCTGGATATGTTTATGAACAGTTTGCGTTTTATAATCGTGCATTGGGGCCTTATTGGTGGTCATATTTTGGCATGATGACTTGTAATGTAATATCGCCGCAAATTTTCTGGTTTAAAAAATACAGACGAAGTTTGGTTGTCACTTTTGTCATGTCTATTTTCGTTAATATTGGAATGTGGTTTGAGCGTTTTGTAATTATTGCGACAACTTTGGCGCGGGATTATTTGCCATCAAGCTGGTCGTATTATACGCCGACATGGGTGGAAGTGGGTTTATTTGTAGGTTCGTTAGGTTTGTTTTTCACTTTATTTTTGGCTTTTACGCGCGTTGCGCCTGTGATAGCAATAGCGGAGGTTAAAAGTATTTTAAAAGCAGCAGGCGACCAGTATGCTGGTAAGAATGCTTATGCACATCACGATGATGACCATGATGACCATGGACACGGTTCTGAGCATGAGCATGCGCATCATCATTAGTTGATAGATACTTTGATTAGTCGTTTTTTAAATTAAAATTAATCTATATCATAAATAATGAGATCTTTAAACAAAGAAATTCTCTATGGGCTGTACGATGACGAGCAAGATTTGCTAAAGGCGGTGAAAAACGCTAAAAGACAGCATTTGGATGTTTTTGATGTCTATACGCCTTTTCCTGTACATGGATTGGATCCTTTGCTCGGTTTATCGGAGTCGCGTTTGCATATTGCGGGTTTTGTTTATGGGCTACTGGGCACTTGTACGGCTTTTGGTTTTATGACTTGGGCGTTTACACAAGACTGGCCTGTCATATTTGGTGGCAAGCCTTATTGGGCAGTGCCCGCATTTATTCCTGTTACTTTTGAGTTGACGGTGCTTTTTGCTGCGATAGGTATGGTGGTAACATTTTATACGGTTTGCGGTATGGGGCCTGGTATTACTAACCCAACATTAGACGACCGAATTACCGACGACAAATTTTGCATAGCATTTGATGTAAATGGTGCAAATAGGGAAGAAATAGATGGTTTAAAAGGTTTTTTCCAGCAAACAGGTGCGTCTGAAGTAAACGTAAAATTTATATAACTAATTTAGTGCTTTTTAAAATGAGTACTGAAATATTACAATATTTATTTTTAAGATGAATAAGCAATCTATCTTTTTCATATTATTCCTTGTAGGTGGGCTGTTTGTGTTGCAGTCATGTTCTCGTGCAAAAGGGGAGGATCCTGGACATGAGTATATGCCTGACATGGGGCATGCTGTTTCGTATGAAGCCAATGTATTAGATGATTATTATTATAATACATGGGACAAGGAAAGCGTCAAAGGGCGTAAAGAGCTTTCGATGCCACGCCAACCCATTGCAGGCACGATGCCGAGAGGCTATGCTGGGGTCGCTTTAGCCCAAGATGGGGCTGCTATGATGTCAACGTTGAGGGGATATTCGGCTCATTCGGCGATTGCCACGCCTGTAAGTGGACATGTGCCTTACTACTACGGAAATACTGACGAAGAGCGTGCGCGTGCGATAGCAGAAATTGGAAAAAACCCTTATCCAATTACGGCTTCGGGGCTAGCAAAAGGGAAGGAGCTTTATGTTATTTATTGTGGTATTTGTCATGGTGATGGTGGTGCGGGTAATGGTTATTTAGTTCGTGAAGATGGCGGAAAATATCCTGCTCAACCTGCCAACTTATTGTCTGACGAATTTATTACGTCATCTAATGGCCGTTATTATCATGCGATTATGTATGGCAGAAATGTAATGGGCGGCTATTCTGAGAAACTTTCGTATGAAGAACGCTGGCAGGTAATTCATTATATTCGTAGTTTGCAGGCAAAGTCTAAGAAATTAAATTACGATGAAAAGGAGAATACTTTAAATGACGGTGCGACACCGTATGCGGTGTGGGCTGCTGCTAAAGAAGTTAAGAAAGAGGTGCTAGGAAAAGTAGAAACAACTGCTAAGGGTGTGGTAGAAGAAGCGAAAGCTGTAATAAAAAAAGTAGAACACAAAGTAGGGCACTAAACCAAAAGATTATTCAAAAAAATTGAAATCATTTAATTGATAAGTTTTTGATTTGCAATTATTTAAATATCAGTTTTTAGTTACATTTTAATATCTATCAGTCAATTATTTATAAAAATACTTCGATGAAAGAATTTGTATTCGAGTCAAAGCAGAAGTCAGTACTAATGGGTTTGATGGCACTTGGGGTCGTATGTTTAGGCATCACGTTTGTCATGGATACGGAGCCATACCATGTGCGTTTTTGGTCTAATTTCTTGCACAATTCCGTATTTTTTACAGGGATTTCATTTGCTGCTTTATTTTTAATAGCAGCGCATACAACGGCATATTCGGGTTGGCATACTGCCTTCAAGCGTATTTGGGAAGCATATTCTTTATTTTTGATTATTGGCATTGTTTTGATGTTGGTGGTAGCTGGTGGATTATGGGCTGGTTATCATGAGCTTTATCATTGGAACGATGCTAAAACCGTAGCTGCCGATAAGATATTGAAGGGTAAGTCGGGTTTTTTAAATAAAATGTGGTACACCTTTGGTACTTTGATTGTTGTAGGCATTTGGATTTGGTTTGCACAGCGTTTTCGCGCATTATCGGTGCAGGAAGATGAAGACGGTGCGTCTAACAATTATCGGCTATACCGTCGGATTAAAGTTTTGGCGGCTGGTTTTTTGCCAATAGCTGGTTTTTCGAGCGCTGCTATGATTTGGCAGTGGGTGATGTCTGTAGATTCGCATTGGTATAGTACCCTTTATGCGTGGTATTGTACGGCGAGCTGGGTGGTTAGTATGGTGGCTTTGACAATTTTGACTTTAATTTATCTTAAATCGAAAGGATATTTTACGTGGGTTACAGTGGAGCATTTGCACGATTTGGGCAAATATATGTTTGCGTTTAGTGTATTTTGGACGTATTTGTGGTTTTCACAATTTATGTTGATATGGTACGCAAATGTGGGGGAAGAAACCATTTATTTTTATGAGCGTATGCACAACTATCCTGCCCTGTATTGGGGCAATTTCATTATCAACTTTCTTGTTCCATTTTTTGTATTGATGAGAAACGATACTAAGCGTAAGTATGGTAGTCTGGTTTTTATCGCAGTTTTAGTACTCTTTGGTCACTGGATTGATTTTTTCCAAATGATAAAACCAGGTGTGTTGCATACTGCACATGAATTACACGCTCAACATATGGGTGGTGCTGCTCACGGAGATGCAACAACAAAACATAGCGACGCGACAGTTCATGCTGTAGAAACTGCAAAGGCGGCAGGTGAACATGTTGAAAAGGCTATTGATAATGTTCACAATGCTGTGGCAGATGCAACACACGGTACCTTGGCTCATGCTACTGAAAAGGTGGCTGAATCGGGAGAACATGGTGATGGAGGACACAATGAGGTACTTCATGCAGCAGAGGGGCATGGAGAAGAACATCATGCGGGTGGTGAATTTAAAATGGGCTTTACGGTTCCTGGTCTGGCTGAGGTAGGTACATTTTTAGGATTTTTGGCTTTATTCTTCTATTTTGTATTTATGCAGCTAGAAAAAGCCTCTTTATTGGCAAAAAATGACCCATACATACAAGAGAGTTTGAATCATCATGTGATGTAAAAATATTTATTTACAATGAATCTAAATGATAGAATTATCATAAAGTTTATTTTGATATAAAGACAAAAGTTTTTAGATTTGTTAGAATGACAGCGTTTTAAGTGAAATGTAATTGTTAAAATAATTTCAACTAAATTTTAATATATAAATAATGACAACGTTAATCATCCTCCTGTGCCTCGTTTTAATATCGGTGGTGTTGGTGCAGATAGGTAAAGTTACAGAACTTTCTGCTAAAATTAAAGGGGAAGCGGCAGCGCAAGCAGATAGCAATTATTGGAACTCTCGTATTGGTATGGTTTTTTTAGTATTGTTTTTAGCGGCGAGTTTTTGGTTGATAGCAATATATAAAGATTCTGTGCTTTGGTTAGGTCCTAATACTTCAGCTTCTGCGCATGGTGGAAAGATTGATTCTGCTATTAATGTGACTGTGTTTTTTACGGGTGTCGTCTTTATTGTCACTCAAGTGTTGTTGTTTTGGTTTTCGTATAAGTATCAAGGTAAGGAAGGTCGTAAAGCCCTTTTCAGACCGGGTGACAATCGTTTGGAAGTATTTTGGACGGCTGTTCCTGCCATTGTTATGACTTTTTTAGTCATTCGTGGTTTAGATGCTTGGAATACAGCTATGGTAGATGTTAAAGAAGGTGAGGATTATACAGAAATAGAGGCTACGGGTTATCAGTTTGCATGGGCTATTCGTTATCCAGGTGCTGATGGCAAGCTGGGTACTAAAAACTATAAGTTGATTAGTGGCACTAACCCTTTGGGGCAGGATTGGAAGGATGCTAAAAATTTAGATGACCTTCATACGGACGAGATAGTGCTGCCTGTCAATAAAAAAGTGAGAGTTCGTATTACCGCTAAAGATGTGTTGCATAATTTTTATCTACCTCATTTTCGGGTAAAAATGGATGCCATACCAGGTATGCCAACATATTTTGTGTTTACACCAACTATCACGACGGAGGATTATCGCCAGCAAATTAAAAATTCACCTGAGTATCAGTTGCCTTCGGATCCGAAAGATCCTAAGAGTGAACCGCGATGGAAAACATTTAACTATGAGTTAGCTTGTGCAGAGCTTTGTGGTGTGGGGCATTATTCGATGCGAAAAGTGGTAAGGATAGTTTCGGAAGAAGAATATCAAAAATGGCTTGAAGCACAGAAGTCATGGTATGCAACTTCTATTCGTGGGACAGACGAGGACCCGTACAGAGGTAAACCATTAGAAACAGACATAAAAGTTTTTTCTGAAAATATTGAAAAAGCATTAAAAGATACGACTGCCAAGAGCAAAACATTGTTGTTGGATTATGTGAATTTTGAAACAGGCTCGGCTACACTTACAACAGACTCTAAATTGCAACTTGATGTGTTGGCTACTGCTTTAAGTACTCACCCAACTATGGTAATTGAAGTATCGGGGCATACAGACAACGTCGGGGAACCGACATCGAACCTAACATTATCGGCTTCTCGGGCTACTTCTGTGAAGGACTTTTTGGTCAACAAAGGGATTAATGGAGGGCGTTTGAAGGCGGTAGGCTACGGGGATAAGCGGCCAGTAGATACGAATGATACAGTGGAGGGGCGTGCAAAAAATAGGAGAACGGAATTTAAAATTTTAAGCAATTAATCTTAATATTGAAGTATTTTTGATACAATATTATTAGTCGAACTAAAAAAAATCTTATAAAAGATGGCAACCAATTTAACAAATGTGCCAAGTACTAAAGAGGAAGTACTCATAGAGAATATGGGATTTGATGACCATTTCCATGACCATCATCATGGGGATAAGTATCAATCTAGTTTTATTACGACCTATATTTTTAGCCAGGATCATAAAACCATTGCCAAACAATTTCTCATTACTGGGATGATTTGGGCGTTCATCGGGGCTGCAATGTCTATCGTTTTTCGCTTACAATTGGGTTTTCCAGAAGAGAGTTTGGCTTGGTTAAAGCCAATTTTGGGCAAATGGATTGTATTAGATGATGCTACAGGCATGGGCAAGTTGGCACCTGAGTTTTATTATGCTTTGGTGACGATGCATGGTACTATTATTGTGTTTTTTGTACTGACAGCAGGTTTGAGTGGTACTTTTAGCAATTTATTAATACCTTTGCAAATTGGTGCACGAGATATGGCTTCGGGCTTTCTAAATATGTTGTCTTATTGGTTTTTCTTTCTTTCGGGCATTATTATGTTCTTCTCTCTGTTCCTTAATACAGGCCCTTTTTCAGGTGGTTGGACGGCATACCCGCCATTAAGTGCTTTGCCTCAAGCTTCAACAGGCTCACAAGCTGGTGCTACAATGTGGCTGGTGAGTATGACGTTTTTTATCGTGTCTGTTTTGTTAGGTGGTATAAATTATATTACAACTATCTTGAATTTACGCACGAAAGGTTTAAATATGTGGCGTTTGCCGTTGACGATATGGGCGTTTTTATTGACTGCGATTATCGGATTGCTTTCGTTTCCTGTTTTGGCTTCGGGGGCATTTTTATTGATGTTTGATAGGAGTTTGGGTACGAGTTTTTACTTGAGTGAAATTTTTATTGGGGGCAAGGCTTTAGATAATGTTGGTGGTAGCCCTATCCTATTTCAGCATTTATTTTGGTTTTTAGGCCACCCCGAAGTATATATTATCATCTTGCCAGCAATGGGTTTAGTTTCAGAAGTACTTTCTGTGCACTGCCGCAAGCCTATATTTGGTTATAAAGCGATGGTATTTTCTATGTTAGCAATTGGATTTTTGTCTTTCATCGTATGGGCACACCATATGTTTATGGCAGGTGTAAATCCTTTTATATCCAATTTTTTTGTTATTTTTACTTTGATTATTGCGGTGCCATCTGCGGTAAAAGTGTTTAACTGGATTGCAACGATTTGGGGAGGTAATATTCGTTTCAATTCGGCGAGTTTATTTGCCATTGGGTTTGTTTCGATGTTCATTTCTGGAGGTTTGACAGGGATTTTTCTTGGTAATTCTGCTATTGACATTGTGATGCACGACACCTATTTTGTTGTAGCACACTTTCACGTTGTAATGGGTGTTGCAGCATTTTTTGGTATGTTTGCTGGTATTTATCACTGGTTTCCCAAAATGTATGGTCGTTTTATGAATGAAACGTTGGGTAAGATCCATTTTTGGGGTACGTTGATAGGGGCTTATTGTGTGTTCTGGCCTATGCACTATTTGGGTATGGCAGGTGTTCCTCGTCGTTATTATAGCTTTGAAGCTTTTGATGCCTTCAAACACTTCGATGCAACTAATAAATTTATTACTATTTCTGCAATCGTTACTTTCTTTTTACAAGTTTTATTTATGATAAATTTTTTCCATAGCATTTGGAAAGGTAGAGTTTGTACTAATAAAAACCCTTGGGACGCTTCTACATTGGAGTGGACAACACCAATAAAACCAGGACATGGAAACTGGACTGGTAAAATTCCATCAGTTCAACGTTGGGCTTATGATTATAGCAAAGATGATAGGGGAGAGGCTATTTCTCAAATAGTGCCACTTGAGGCTGGGGAGCGTGATATGGGAGGGCATTAGTCAAAAAGTATTATTTTGACGATTATAAATGCTATGTTGTGTATATAAAACTTAAATACTAATTAAAAAAATACTTGAAGTAGTGCCATCAAAAGTGGAAAAAATCGGGCTATCGCAGATAATCAGCGAAAAAATTAGAGATTATCTACTTTTAGTAAAAGTTAGACTTACTGCACTGGTGGTTTTTTCTGCAGTCATTGCTTATTTGATTAGTGCTGATGGAGATATAAATTGGAATGCATTAGGGGTGTTGGCATTAGGTGGCTTTTTGGTAACTGCGGCTGCCAACGCACTCAATCAGGTGTTAGAGAGAGAATATGATAAATTGATGAAGCGAACGGCCGATAGACCTTTACCTGCGGGACGGATGACGATTTCGGCGGCACTTTTGGCAGCAGGTTTGATGAGTCTTGTTGGTGTTGCCTTGTTGACTTCTTTAAATCCTATGACAGGTTTTTTGGGTACTATTTCTCTGATTTCGTATGCTTTTATTTATACGCCCATGAAGCGGGTTTCACCTATTGCGGTGTTTATTGGTGCATTTCCGGGAGCTTTACCTATGGCGATTGGAAGTGTGGCGGTTACAGGCATATTGACTTCCGTGTCATTGGTGCTGTTTGCGATTCAGTTTTTATGGCAGTTTCCTCATTTTTGGGCGATTGCATGGGTTGGGCACGAAGATTATTCTAAGGCTGGATTTCGGTTGTTGCCTTCTCATAATAATGAGTTAGATGCAAGCATCGGTTTTTACAGTTTTTTGTATGCTTTGGCTTTATTAGGTGTTAGTATTTTACCTTATTTTATGGGGATTGTGAGTATTTTTTCTACTCTAATTTTATTCTTTTTAGGTGTTATATACGCCTATTTCTCGTGGAATTTGTACAAAAAATGCGATAAAAAATCGGCATTACACTTGATGTTTTATTCGTTTTTTTATTTGCCGATTGCTTTAATCGCAATGTTATTTGACAAAATTTAATTAAAATTTAAATGAATTTGGCAGTTTCTGATTCCGTCAACAACAATAGTAGAAATAAAATTCATCCCAAAAAATTTGGCTTGTATATTAGTTTTGCCAGCATTTTGATGATGTTTGCAGGTTTGACAAGTGCTTATTTAGTGCGCCAAGCTGCGGGAAACTGGTTGGAGTTCAAATTGCCTAATATTTTTTTCGTAAGTACAGCTACTATCTTGGCAAGTAGTTTTACTTTGCATTTGTCTTATCGCGCTTTTCTGAAGGGAAATACTTCGGCCTATAGAAATTTACTGATGCTATCGTTTTTGTTGGGCTTGGCTTTTGTTGTGCTCCAATATCAAGGGTGGTTGACTTTACAGCATTTCGGAATTACATTAGATGGCAACCCTGCAGGTTCGTTTGTGTATGCAATTTCTGGTATTCATGCAGCTCACGTGTTGGGGGGGCTTGCCGCTATCGGAGTGGCATTGGTTCATGCTTTTGCTTTGGCGCATCGCGTAAATCCAATTAGAAAATTAAGATTTGAATTGACGCTCCAATATTGGCACTTTGTGGATATTTTGTGGCTTTATTTATTGATTTTTATGATTATTCAACGATAGAATAAAACGAAAAACCTTATTTTAAAAATTTTTTATACATTTAACAGACAATGGCAACCGATACAGCTTTAGAGCAAAATGCTGAACTATGGTCAGGCGGAAAGGAGCCTTTCAAGGCAAGTTATGGAAAGCTAATGATGTGGTATTTTTTACTTTCTGATGCTTTTACTTTTGCTGGTTTCCTTATTTCTTACGGTGCATTACGGTTTAGTGTGCCTGCTTGGCCACTTCCTGATTTTGTTTTTTCTTCATTTCCATTTTTGTCAGGGCATTGGCCTCTGCTTTTTGTGACGCTTATGACTTTTATCCTCATCATTAGTTCTGTTACGATGGTTCGTGCAGTACAGGAAGGACATCATGGCAACAAAAAGGGAGTCGTCTTTTGGATGCTACTGACTGTTCTTGGCGGAGCAGCATTTTTAAGTTGTCAAGCTTATGAATGGACGACCCTCATCAAAGGGGAAAATATGACTGTTTCTCAAAATCCTTTTGGAAGACACATAGAATCGGGCGTTTATATCAATGCTGATGGCTCTGAAGCGGTAAAAAATGGAAAACCTGAAACCTTTAAAGTAGGAGATAGCTATCTTATTCATGGGCATGATGGCAAATTGCAGCCACGTCAGTTTAGAGCAACTGATGGACCTGATGCAGGCCAAATCAAAACAGAACAACTCGGACCCAAAGCTTTTGGTGGCTTATTCTTTTTTATCACAGGATTCCACGGATTTCACGTTTTATCTGGCGTAATTTTCTTGTTGATTATTATGCTCAATGTAATGAGTGGTTTATATCATAAGCGGGGTAATCACTATGAGATGGTCGAAAAAATAGGGTTATATTGGCACTTTGTAGATTTGGTCTGGGTTTTCGTATTTTTAGTATTTTACTTGATTTAGGAGTGGCTTATTGGCTATTTTATATATATTAAAATTTAATCAACCTTAATAATTCTATATCACCATGATGACCAGAGAAGAAGGTATCAAAGTTGTCACAAAGGGTTTAATTTTACTTGGTGTCGTGACCATTTGCGAAGTTGTATTTGCCCTATTGGGCAATGGGCATATCGTTGAAGGATTGCATTTTCCAAAATTGATTATGGTACCAGTAATGATTGCTGCCAGCTTATATAAAGCTTATTTTATTGTTTATGAATTTATGCACATGCGATACGAAGCTAAAGGATTGGCTATGACTGTATTGCTGCCAACGCTATTGTTGGTTTGGGCAGTAATCGCATTTTTGTATGAAGGCTCTGCTTGGGGAGGCAACCGAAAGTATGTAAAAGATAAAAATTTGCAACCTGCTGAAAAAACAATAAAAACACAAGGATACAATGAAAAAATCAAAAACGCTAAAATTATAGGATAAAGTATTTTTTTTGTTCAATAAGGCGGGAAGACAATCTCCCGCCTTTTTTATTACAAATAATTTTTCATACTATGAATAAGTGGGTAAAAGCGGCCGGAATATTTCTTGTTTTATTTGGCTTACCAGCACTTTCTTGGTATTATTTGCAAGCCGGCTTAGATTGGCGCAAAAAATCCTTATCCGAGTTGAAAAAAATTGGTAGAGTAGGGGATTTCCAGTTTCTTAATCAAAATAATGCCATTTTTACGGCAGATAGCCTCAAGGGCAAAGTTGCTATTTGTAATTTTGTTTCTACAAAAAATAAGTCTTTATTAGATGATATGACAGATAAAATGTCCGCTTACGTCAAGCAGTTTAATAAAACGGATAAAGTTATTTTTCTGAGTATCGCTATTGACCTTACCGATTCCGTACCTATATGGAAAAATTATATGCTTGAAAAAGGAATTAAACCCGCTACCGCTTGGCAATTTCTCAGCAACCCCCAAATTGACCTCAGCACTAAATTTTATTTAAATACAAAGGCATCAGGCGATTTAACCAATTTTAAATATGCTATTTTGATAGATACCAGTCGTACCATTCGTTATTTCTACGATTTTCAGCAACCAGACGATTTGCGTCGTTTAATTCAGCACACCGCTCTGTTGATTCCTGTTAAAAAAGATGAAAAGCCCAAAATGAAGCGTGATGCCGAAAAATAAGAAAACAAATTATTTCAAAATTTGCTTTTCTAAACTTGTTAATTTTCTATCCAGACGAACCAAAAAGAACACAAGTCCCAAAAATATTGCTACAATAACAGCCACTACAACATAAATTTTTCCGATGCTACGCATAAAATCGCCATCAGAAGCACCATTTTGTGCCCATAAAATTTGACCGATTAATAGAAAAAATAAGGTCAAAATAACATTATTTTTCTTCATTTTTCATTATTTTAAAATAAAATTATAATAATTTTAAATAGCTTAGATTGTATATTTTGCTACAAAATATTTCTCTTTTTCACGCCTCATCCGCTTCCGCTCTCAATCGCTCTATACGCCAAGAAATATCTGCGAGCCAAGCCCCCAGTAGTGTCCAACCAATAATAGCAGGATAGAAAACGACACGCATCGTATTATCTAAATCTTCTTTGCCCAAACCCGGATTTCCGCCATTGCCGGGGTGCAAGCTATCCGTCATACGAGGGATTACAAAAAGCAATGGAATCATCGCTGCGTAAGCAAAAATGCCATAAACAGCCCCGATACGCGCCCGTTTCTCGTCATCTTCGAAAGAGCCACGCAACACAAAATACGCCCCATAAATAAGCATACAAATTGCTGCCATGTTCTGCTTCACGTCCCAGCTCCAGAATGCGCCCCATGTTTCTTTTGCCCAAATTGCACCCGTAATCAAGCCTAAGATACCATACAAAACGCCCACTTTCGTAAATGCAACCGCCTTAATATCGTTTAATTTATCCAATGTTTTTAGATATCGCCAGCTATAAAATAGCGAAACAGAAAACAAGATAATCATACCAAACCACAACGGCACGTGAAAAAACAAATTTCTAATCGTTTCTGCCAAAATATTCCGAAATGGATAAGCGAAATGCTTCGTTTCACTCAAATTTTTAAAACTATTGGTTTCCCACATATCGCGCATTCGGGCGGGATTCATAGAATCTTGGCTCACGAAAACGGCACTTGGCAGCACACACGCACCATCAACCTCATTATCAATCACCAACGTCATATCCTTTACCTTACTCGAATCAGGCAAAAATTGTGGGATATAAAAACGCATACTCAAATGTTGCGGGTCGTCAACGCCCACCACCTGCGCCGGCATCGCATACGTGCTATCATATTTGAGCCATGACCGTATTTTTGCGGTATAATTAGCATTATAACCTTTCACTTTTAGGTCAAGATAACGGCCCGAACGCACTCGATTAGGCGTGACTTCAACAATACCAGGCTTCAGTGGAACCAACAATCCGGCTAAAAAAACATAAATTAAAAGAACAATAGATAAAATTTTCCACCAATATTTCATTTTTATCACTTTGGTTTTTGACTATTTGATTTGCGGGACACAAAGTTACATTAACTTTTGATAAATTTTTTCTATAAAAATGCTAAAAAAACGTTGAATAGAACTACTTTTATCACTCTTTTTTATTATTTAACTCTTTTAGGAACGAGTGAATGATAATTTATCAAATTTGGCAAAATATTTTTGGCTCAGATGACTGTTTTTTTGAAATATTCAACGAAAAAAATAGGATATATGAGCTAAAAAGATGCGGATAAAATAATAAGTTATTGTTTAATCCTTCCTTACCATTCACTCCAAAATCAAGCCAAATTAAAAAATATTATATTTTACAAAAATTATCCATAAACAATGAATAAAACAGAAAAATTGTATGCACGCCGAAAAGCTGTCGTTCCCAATGCTTTAGGTATTTTCAACCCTTCCAGCGCAAAATCTGCCAAAGGTGCCATCATCATTGATGCCGACGGACGCGAGCTAATCGATTTTGCAGGAGGCATTGGCGTCCTCAATGCAGGGCATTGCCCCGAACCCGTCGTGAAAGCCATAAAAAAACAGGCAGAAAAACTAATTCACACTTGCTTTAACGTGGCTATATACGAAGAATATTTAAATTTAGCTGAAAAATTAGCTGAAATCCTGCCTCATGGCGAGCATACCAAAGTGATGCTAACCAATTCGGGTGCAGAATCTGTCGAAAATGCTATTAAAATTGCTCGTCAAGCAACGGGTAGGTCTGCGGTTATTTGTTTTACCAATGCCTTTCATGGCCGCTCTTTGATGGCAATGACCTTGACCTCAAAGGTT